TGCCTCAGGACAGAAGGAAGACTGTTCAAAAGATGACTCTATGACTTTCACAACTAACTGGCGTCAAAAGAAATAACCGGACAAAATATAAGAACAACACGTGGCCTGTGTGGTCCTGGTTGTAGCTCATCGAATGTGTAGTCGGTGTAGTTATTTTAGGCCAGATATCCATATGAACCTGCAGGGGTACTTGCCAAAACGTATTGATTCAACCATTAGAAGTTCTCCCTCGCAGAGTACATTGCTTACTGATTTCTGTAATTGGACTAGAAATTTGTAAGCTGTGGTAAATTATACGGTTAATTACTTGCGACCGGGCAAAGTCCCTGCTCTCTTATATCAAAATTACCTCCGAACGGAAACGAGAGTGCATCTGAACGTCAATGGGCATTCACACGGTTACATCTAGTAACCGCCAGATCAATAAAACATTCGCGGACATAGCGTAGAAGGGTGATGCGTTGCGCTTCAATAGCGTTTGAAATGCACGCCTCGTGAGGACGTCATGGCTCGTCCACGTCTGTCTTTGGATGTTGATGCGTTAGCTGGAATACAATCACGAACTGCACATCTTGGTGTTTCCGTGCTGACACAGAAATGAGCACATCCGCCCAGCAGCTGCTGTGACGATATGCGGGTGCTGATCGAGCTTATAATCCTAGGCAAGCTTTTCACTGAAGAAACCACCGGATAGTATGCGTGTACCCTATGGACTGGTACTACATACAGTCTGTAACAAAAAACGTATGGACAGAGTACCTGAACTGTGACCAGGCTAAATACACGGGGAATTAAACAGGACTCACGTACATTCTATGTTAAGTACAAAGGTTCACAAGTAGTTAGGATTAAGGCGTTGGTGAAATCAGGAGAGCACTCAGTAAAACGGACTTGTCGCACAGCCTGAGTGGAGGGATATTATTTTGGCAACGCAGTGGGATGCACAATTTGTAGAGTTGCCCTTCCAGAATCACTATTTGGTGGTACTCAGACATTTATATCGCATATGAGAACAGTTCCTATCTTTCATCATTTGCGATAATCAAGCTCCCAAATTCTTAAGTTTTTTGCCTAACACGTACATTCCAAATAGGGTGAACTCACCTAGTAGCAGGATACGACAATTTGCAGAATAGGGGGATGTTAGGTACATTCAGTGACCACATATGGTAAAATAATATTATTGTATTAGTTCACAAAAGCTAACTGCAAATGACCTAGTACGACATTTTATTGGGTGCAACGTGTTCAAGCATTTCACATTCTGTATCACACCAAACTAACTATCCAGCATATAGTATAGATATAAGTAAAAGATGTAAAAGTACCAGACTTCCCAACACCGTTGGACAAGAAGGGATTAGTTACTCAACGTAGCGACTGAGTACTTCAGGTCACTAACCTCACGAACACGCTTTTTCCGATCAGTCAATGGCGCCCAATGAGTTAAGTTAGTACGAGCGGCGGAAATGTGATTTTGAGGCCAGCAACCTATTATTGCTAAAAAGTGTGATCGGTCCCCCACACAGCCCCTGAATAAACCTCAACAACGGAAGAAGGTTCAACGGGAGTTGGCCCCTCGAGAAATAGTCACATCCTCACCCTAAATATTAGGTCGAAATTCCGAGCCAATTTTTGAACATTAACCAGCTTTCCATGAACATACCTACTCACAAGTAGTCCCTTTTCGATTGAATCAGTAGATAACGGATGCGATATCTAGGCTTTCATAATATTTTATTATTTTGCCGAACGGTTGAGTAAGCATCATCCGCCTGGTCGGCGAGCTGAACCACCTCCTCATAGTACCGACTGGGTAGTCTGGACGTCAGTCTGGGTGAGCTAAGAGTTCAGGAACTCCAGACAGGGCTAACCATCCTATTTGTTTTCAATGTGGCAAGTGCTGCAAATCGAAAGCTGGTTTGGTAGCCCACCCTCAAGTTCACGACAATAAAAGTGTCGGTAAGAACATGGTCACCCAATTGGCCTGCGCTGATTGTTCCCGCCTTTTTCCGACGAAGATTGGCCTAATTCAACATCGCCGGCATGCACACCCCACCCAGCATAATGCCGATAAGCTAGGCCGAGTGAAGTATTCCGGTACCTTCTGGTCCCAACAAGAGTCACAATCGCTGTTGCACCTGGCTTATAATTTACATCGGTCTTGTGGCACGCAAACTGCACCGTTCGCGAGATCGGACCAGTATTTCCCTGGTCGACTGGTTATGAGCATCAAAACCAGGTTACGGGTGCTTAACTGACAAGCACAACAGGAGGAATCACTATCTAGTGACCCTAACCAAACTATCGGCCTACTCATCAGAAGCCGATGACTATAGTGTCTGGTTTAAATGAACCGTGGATTACGCCGTGTCACTCTTGGAATCCTATGCTGACAGTTCATTTGCTAGTGTTGATCTTCCGGCGTTTGCCCGAGAGTTGCAGTCTGGCATCATGACACCGGAGCAATTCCTGTCGCTTCTGGACTTCCACACCTCCAGGACATTTCCACGCACCTGGAAAACTGTATCCCGACGCCGTCGTCAACTAGCCCATCAGATGCCGGTCAACCGAAAGCAGATCCGCCGAGCTAACTACTCCGCCATCCAGACCCTACACCAACAAAGACAGAAAGATTCAGCGTCTGCTGCGCTCGATGGGTCATGGAAGGGTTTATACGATGGTAAGTGCGGCCTAACTCTGGACTCTGAGTAGTGTTGGAAGCAGGTGCTCTCAGCTCCAAAATATGTGGATAGCCGGTCAAGTCGCGTAGTAGTACCTGAAGCTAGCTACAGCCAAGTACAGAATAAGTCGGCCGTACCATCCGTTTAATGGGCAGTTCATTCCAAGGCGTGGACAAGGTCACGCCCAGGATGCTCCGTTGGTTCAATGCAAACGCGCCCCCCGGGTATTTCAACTTAATCTCATTACCTGGAGGTTGATTCCCATGTTTGTGTAGTGCCCGTATTACCCTAGTCACGAAGTTTTCAAATCCGACTACACCGGATCAACTAAGATCGATCTCCGTGTCATCCATTCTTGTCCGATGCTGTCATAATATGCTTGTTAAGCACTGCAGTCGTTTGGAGCACTTTCGCCCCTAGTTCGATAAACCGCACAGTCATATGAGAGTGCTGTAGCAGTTTCCTCCAACTTCGAGGTTAACTGCTACAGAGATGTGAGGCAAGGAGGCATTAGTACAGTACAGTTCATGGATTGTCGATGCCGCAACTAGGATACCAGTTCCTTGACACTCTAGTTGATGTTTTTGCTTTTGCTGACGACTGGGTCGTGTGTGCAAAAAGTCAGGCACGCCCCAAAGAGAAGCTTGAAGCTGCTGCGGTCTAGTTGGGAAGAGGTGGTATAAAGACAAACGTTCGAAAGACAAAAGCGATGGTGATTTGAGGGGACAGGAAACATCGGGCGACAGCAGTCTCAGTCGAACCATTTTGCTTCACCGAGAAACTCATTACTCTTCTGGGTACGACAGACACCGTAACATACTAAGCATCCCCGTTAATTTCAAGGAAGAAAAAGTCTGCCGTCACCGACAGCAGCTGCTCAAACTGCTTGATGAGGTGACGCGTGCCCCGTTTAAACCGCACCAAAGAATAGAGATCACGAGGAGCTATCTGATACCGAGGCTGACATATTCGCTCGTGCTCCGCTAAGTTCACCGAAACACGCTCAAAACATTGGGCAACTACATCAGGCAATATATTCGTGACTGGCTACGTCTACCGAAGGACACCTCGATCAACTACATCCACGCCGGTAAACAACACGGGGGATTTGGCATCCCAAGTCTGAGTCCAACAATCCGGATACCGAGTACTACGCAGTGTAAGCAATGATTCCGCATTTGTCAAGATTGTTCTGGATTTCAGCCTTTCGATCCGAGCCCAAGGTGCACGCGTAAACACCAAGGAAGTGCTGGTGGTTGTCTGGAGTGATAGCCTGCATAACAGCGCTGAAGATCGCCATTTACGGGAGTTGGTCGCTTCGCCTCTTTCTAATCGATGATCTGTTTCCAAAACAAGGGTTTACTCGGATATTCATCCGCAGTATCCAGCCTCGATCTAGCCCGCTTAGGATGAGAGTTAGAAGCACCCGGCATGGTCATGGTGGTCAGATCTACCGTGGAAACTCTGGCATCCGGGAAGTTTGGCTGCAGCATGATGCGATACGCGCTCGTCATAATCAGGCTGCAAGGGAACTCGTGAGACGTCTCCGCTGCCTGGGATACACAGTCTTCGAGGAGTTGAGAGCACCCACGTCGAAGTCGTTCATCACGCCTGACCTAACTGCTGTTCGGGAGCGCCGAGCAACTGTAATAGACGTCATTATAGTCTCGGATGGGTGCGGAGTTGCTGCATTGGGCGAGAAGCAGAAGTATGGTAGTGATCATTGTTCCCTTGCCATCATCTTAGCCCTACGTGCAATCGATCATGGTGTCGAATTTTTAGTCAACCGGCTGATGATCATCTCTTATCGAGGGATCTGCTTTCCTGAATCCACCAAGGATTTTATGGGACTGGGACTTCCTAGAGTCACAGTTGGTGACTTGTGTTTGCTTGCCATTGTGGGCTCTCTGCGTATTTACTTACACTTTAATGCGTGGTACAGGCTTTGAGTGTTCACCCTTGCCACTGACTTTCACACCTGACCCAGGATGCCGGGCACTTTGTGCCTGAAGTGCGAGTCTTGACTGAGCTAGCGCTTATCGCGTCTTAAAGAGCATTTAGCGCTCTTTGTCCTTGCTTCGGTTGCTGGCGTTTTCAGGTATGTTACATACGTTGGGATTCATTCTGTTTGCCTGGGACTGTTGTTGGCACTTCGATTTAGCTCATATTCTTCTGCAACCCTTCCATTTCTATCGCTTGCTTTTAGTTTTCGTGTTTATGAACATGCTCTTCAAAATAAAACGATAATGGACTACGAAGACAAACGTTTCATTTGTCGACCCCGCACAGTTACCACGTCCAAACGTGGTCAAACAAATGTGTTGTGAGACGAAGGTAGAGTCACGTACGGTCGAAGGTGGACGTTGTGTTACGCGCACCTGTCCTGGTCTTTACTGTCGGGGCGTGGATGCCTGTTTGAAGTTCGGTGCACAAGCTATGGTGCGTGCGTGATTTGGTCGCGGAGAGTACTGCACACAGAGGAAGCCGCTAGCTTTGTGACCGAACTCGTTAACTCAGGCCGGTCGCGGTAAGCCTCCTAAGCGATGACTAACTGATGATATATTGCCAGTGAATTCCAATTGCAGTGAGTCATTTGAGCATCAAACTCTTTGTAAAGGAGGAAAGAGAAACCAGTGACCAATCCCATTTAGCGGTTTGCATGATGGTGAGCGACTGCAAACAGAGGTGGACAAATACACATTCCCCAGACCGCAATCTAAAGGAAAACCTGTAGTGAAAAGTTTCTACTGACTCAGGGTCAGGTTCCTATAGTTGGAAGTGGGTGCGAGATAAGATGAGGGTAGAGGCGAATCCAAACTTCACTTTCTAGGTGCGTAACACAAGGTCGCATGTACAATTCGTATGGCTTATCTGCTGGAAACTAGAAACGGAGATACTCCAGATAGATTGATTGCTATTCACATTCAGTCACGTGAACTGTATCGATGGAAAAGTAGGAGAATACTGAACCCATAGAAATGGGGCTTTGTTTGTGCCGCCACCTTTGTGGGGATACTTTTGTAGCGTTTATTTAGATGGGAGCAGTAGTATCCAAACCCTATAGCTGAGAGGTGCTCACCTCAGTACTTGTGCTGATTTTACCATAAATTTTTCTTACACTTGATTATTCTTAGTTGGCGGCGATATAGACAGACGAAAATATGTGAGCATCCTTCTCAGGAAGGAAGTCCAGAAGAGAACCACAATCGATATGACCATCTGTGTTTATTCAACCATGAGAGCGGTAAGTGTAATTTCCTACACATTTGAAGCGTGTGACTGAGGTTTTCGGCTCCTTCCCAAGCTAGCCCCTTTGTATTTATGTGTTTGAGCTACCGTTCATATTATGGTTGCCAGCTTCACTCACTGTATTTCCACATGCTAAAATATGGCTTCTGAACACAAAGAATTCATTGTCTTCATGTGTTCTGAACGGAATTGCAGCAGCAACGGTAAGAAGTGTTGTGATCAACAGTAATTGTGTGAATAAGTTAAGTGAAATGCGGTTGTTTGGTCAACCACATATCATGAGACAGTCTATTTCAAATCAGATTCGGATCTCAATCCTTGTTCTGGCAGGGTTCATTCAAATGATTGCTTAGTGGCAAACGTGATTTGCCTTCACTGATAGAGCACTCCTCGTTGTGTATGAATATCAAAAGAATTCAAGAGATTTCTGACTTGTGAGTTTAGGTTTACCGCAAGTCTAGCCGATGGAGAAGTATTGCTTCCTCCCGCTTATGGTGCCCAAGTCCCCTTGAAGAACCACTGTTTTCATTGGAATATGATTGATGGAGGCCATATTTCGCTTTCAGAGTTGGAGCTATCACTTAAGCCATTTCGTGGACATTCTTTAAGATGATTTAAGACCCGCAATCTAGCAATATATGTTGTCTTGCGCAGCAAGGCCACAGAAGACCGTTAGTAAAGTAGTCAAGGGAAGTGAAGGGAAAAACTGCATCTGTTTAAAAGCTCTTGATAACTTGCAGCCCATTTCTGTGTGCATACCTACACTGAACATTCTCGGTGAATTTCTGGCCAGTAGCGTACGGACTGCACATCGAGAATTTATTTCTTGCTAGGAGCTCTTACATGGGTGTAGAGGAAACAGGTCACGTGATGTTACTAGGTTATACTAGGAGGGTCACTGACTGACTGTCTGGAAAGTCCTACCATTCACCAATAGTCAGTACGATTCAGTCGTCAACTAAAAACTATTTCGTAGATTTGCTAGGTGCAAACTGATGACGATTTCCAATAAGGACGGGGAAGCTGTACAATGCTTCTGGCTTTCCGGTATAGGTTGACTCCTCTGACAGGATGAAACCTCAGTCGAACTCCCCAGACCCCTGCACGTTATCAGCAAGTCAGATTACCCGACTTAATCAAATCCCGTTGAACCAGGTTTGGTTTATCAGATGACGTCCAATTAACTTCGCGTAGGCGAAGCAGCTGTACACCCAGGCCAATTCCAACTTCTGAAAAATCCGTGCATTGTCATATGCGAGCGTTAAAAAGTAACACGCACGAAGGTGATGAAAGAGCCGAGTATGTCAAAATTTCTTAACACAAGATAGATGGATGCTGACAATGGATTGCACCGGATAGGACCAGCGAAGCGGAAGTTATTTTGTTTCGGTTGATGGTTATATCATCATGAAAGGAAAGGTATTCAAGTAGCGAAACACATTCATTCGCAAGTTAAGCTGGTGTTTAACAGGTTACTCAATGGAAATCAGCCAAAAATGCTTCATAAAGACCACCTCATGTTTAGGCTGGCACGATATTCGGGATGTCGCAAATACAATATACCACTGGTAAGGATTCGGAAAACTCTTCGACAACCGACTGTCCGTTCATTTTTAAGGCGCACTTCCCGATTTCCTATCAGCCTTATGTTTTACCTGAACAGAAAACTGCACACAAGTGGCGAAATACAGCCCGTTGCGGTTTAAGTTGATGTTGGTGGGAGAGAAAACTCAACCTCTTGTTTATGATGTTCATTCAGCCACAAGCCGATCGAGTTCATTGTAGTGTTCCTATTTTGATTCGAAGAGCCTTCGCACAAAGATCCTATACACGATCCTACATACGAATTTGTGATTTCATCACGTTCCTTTTGAACAGCCCTTCCCCCGTGGACGAGGTGACTTCCGGCTGACAGCCGACAATTGGACTAATTTGCACAACGGCAACAGAGCCGAAAATTCAATAGAACGATCGGACTGTTTCCACATGCAGCTCTTAAACCCCAACAGTCTCAAACGGCAAAGTAGATATGCTTCTGGGACCGGTGATTGCAGGTTTAGGTGGTTGATTAACCAACTTACACCATGCAGCGCAGCTGCTTCTTTCCTGGGTCGCATTTTACCACCACTTATACCCCACGTAGCATCCTCAAACATGATAACCATGAGTCAACAAAATGTAGTGGAGGTTCCCAGCCTTCGTGGTCACCCGGGCGTTGGTGACCCCCAAGCCTGCCGTTAGATCATTACCCTGTCATTTCAGTACCCCATTACTACACCGTTTGGCGAAAGTTCCCGCCGTTTTGAAATCTGATCAGGTAGATGAGCTTTGTTGGTTTCCTATTTCGCCAACTTGTGGGTCTAAAGTATACGTGGCACCCATCATAGTTGTATTATTTACGACATACAGGTCACCTTATCGCATTCACGTATGTCCCGATTACAGATGATTCATACGATGCCGCTGTGTATCTGGCTCTAGTTACAGGCGGAGGTTTAATGAATCGGTGCTCGTCTTCAGATGACTCAACCACCATGAATACTTTTATGGTTGAACACAGCTGCTCTGAGCCGCTATGGACAAGAGTTAACACCAATGTTTTTCACGATTTTCAATGTGGTGCCCAGCTCATTCTGGTTTAAACACACAAACCCTGAAACTCTGTCGTTAATGGAGCCTTGCCAGGTTTTCGCTTGAATCTTTACCAAAAAGTGTAACAATTCTACCTGAAATTCCGTTCAAATAAAACTCCCACCACATCCAACTGGAATTTATTTCTTTTTCGGGCAACTTCGAATTATGAGATAGACAAAAATGATAGCCTCTTTCTAGTTTACAAACTGCAATGTTTACGAGGCGCGAAACATGGATGTAAAAAATTATTTATGTGAAACTGGATGGTTTTCTTGAGAAACTATTCACTAAAAACCACTATTCTAGAAGACTGACAAAAGACCGCATATTTCGGCAATAGAAATTAGGATTCTGATGTAATTTAACGTTTTGATAAAGTGAGGATGGCACCAGTGACTTCTCTTCAGATTCGAAAAATCAACTTTCAGTTCCAATGCTATTCATATTTTGTTGCGCTCACCTTATCGGGGATATTTCACGTTAGTTTGAACTTCAGTTAACACGGTCTCCCTAATCCATTGGGTGAACATCTTTAGCAAGATTCAAAAAATGTTTTAACAGGGGGCACCTAACCCTACTACACGAATTTTACACACGGAAGCCTATTTCAGTTTGGTGTACCAGATGGTATATCTGTACAAACTAGCTTTGCAGTATGCTGGTCATTAGCTGTAAAAGTAATTCTGAACAAAAGCAATCACGGTGACCTAATGAAACGTCCTCCGACCTCAGAACTCTCATCGAAAAAGGCTCTTCAATCGCCAGGCTTGGAACCAATAAAATCGTAAAACCATATAAGTAAAAATAGTTACAGACAGAGGAGTGATGACAAAGATTCTGATCCACCCTTTTCGGTATGACATTTCACCCGGGGAAAATTACTTGCTGTTCCCTGGATAAAAACGTTGTAGAAAAATTCTCCACCTTCAATAAGGCTATAAATGAGGTTAAGAATATGAATCTTCTGGAGTAGATGTCTGCCGATGGAAAACTAAGAAAAATGAGAAGGCGCGTTGGACTAACAAGGATATGAACCTTCAGATAAGAATCTCCATCTCGTTAGACGTGAAGTGTCAAATTATTGCACAAGACATTCAAACGGGAATACACAGGTTGTACGGAGCCAAGCCTATATAAGCTGTTACATCATAGGTGGCATGGGTTCTATCCACCACTTTTCAAACCATCCTTTTCGAGCTTAATCACAATTGCAAAACAGTATTTACCAAACAGTCCAAGTTGGGGGGAATACATGAACCTTGTGAATAACTGAGAGTTGCCTAGAATCGTGAACTGAAGACAACATACCTACGAGGACAGCTTTCATCCATCGTTTTGCTAATATGAGGAAATATGACTCAACCAGTTCTGTTCCATACATTATGCACAGATGTCCGAACCCGGCCAAACGGACAACAAGAGCTGGTGCACTCCCACCTTCCCAAGTCTCCCATTCGTCTTCATGGTTAGAATCCTCACCATCCGCAGTGTCCATTCTTTCTCCATCTTCCGAGTTCCTTGGATGAAGACGGCTGTAGCGTTCCAGTTGCCATTCCCGTGTTACATACAACTGGGCATCTTCATCCCGCAAAGGCTGCGTAAAACTTTGGCCTTCGACGAAGCCTAATTGTGTGGATGTAGCCAATGGCTGTGTTTCCTTGGTGGTATCCAACCAAGGGAAGCGATTGCGAGCCTGGAAAAGAAAAATTTAGTCTGAACGACGGTCACATAGAGAAACAATGGAGCTTTCTGCGCAGACGAGATCCTCTAAATTCAAGCCGAGTTTTCCAAACGGAAACAAGAGGGTCATTCGCCTTGGAGCACTGGCTTTTCCTTTGAGAACTCGTCCATTTCCCATACGTACCTGCGGTAGTATTTCAGGGAATTGGATTCATCTTCATCTATCTACATGCTCGTACTCACATCTATGTGTGGTTTCTTTTTTGTTGTTGATGTCAAGTTGCACGTATAGGAGTTTACAACGTCCCTTGCTCTTCGAGTCCCAACTAACACACTGTGTCCCTATTATCTGCGAAATGCAATTCTCCAGCTCGAATGTTGGAAACACCAGCTCGTGAATAAGAAAACCAACTGCCAGAGAGGAGTGGTCTTTAAATGTTGTGCACGATATCCGGTGTTTCGTGTTCACACTGTGTTGTAAAGCACTTCTCAGTCCTGTCCGAAGAGGTAGCGTCACATGACCTGCCGTGACCACCTTCATTCAATACTAAGCATTTGGGTTGGACTGTTGGTATTTATTCAGAGCAATCGACAGCGCGTTCTTCTAACTGTTTTCAATACTTTTATGTCTAAGAAAGCATAAGCGTGACTGACGGATTGTGCAATACCACGTTTGACGCAAAATACTGTCGGCGGCAGAGCTTGCGCCAAAAATAACTAGTTACGTCATCGGTTAATTCTAGGGCTCACCTTTGTGTTCTGCAGATTCCATTTATTAGGAATGTGTTCAGTATCAACAAGAATACACAAAACTTGGGATTACTGCAATCAGAAGGTGAGGTTGAACTGGCAAGCCATGCCAAGTCTCATCCCATTTTCGGGGTACGAGGTTGCGTGGTGCTAAGTTCAAGCACAATCGATAATTTCGCCATTCTCGATCCCAGAAAGGAGCAAGAGATAAAGCAAATCGACAGTATACTTGTTCACCAGGAACCATTATTTTTCTAAAGAGAAGCCGCAGACAATGGGGTCACCACCTGAATTTTACTCCGGCATTTGAATACGGCAACTGTGCATACTTCAAATGCAAATCAGTTTGATACGACTTGGTTTTGGTGGATAATAATGGCTGTAATCGAGTCATGAGATTATTTCAATCAGTCGCCCTGTATTCAGTGGTGTCCACGTAAGTTTTTGGATCCATGGCAGTTATATTCATGCTCAGACGGTTGAGAAAAAATGAGGCCAATTTTTTTCTGTTTACGAACTGTACAGTGCAACAGTCCCTCTACGGAAGAGAAAACCCAACACCGAATTTTGGCAACTGAGTTTCCTTGAGATTCTGGGCGGACCAATCAAACATATCATGTCTAACAGTCTAAAGTAGATGAAATACATTCCTGTTTCCACCGAGTAACTCAGCGGCACCGTCGAAATGTCAACCAGTGGACTTAGCGTTCCCATTGTGCACTTTACTTTACCACCTTGATTCGAATGTATTAAGGTATGCACCGGCTACGACCAATGAATACATAAATTAAAACTTGTCAAGCGTTCAGAAACAATACTTTCCATCCCTTGGATTATCTTGGACGCAGTGACTTCTGTGCATGAAATCTAATGCTTTGCGTATCTCCACAGAAGTGGTTGCTATTGGTTATTTAGTGACGATCCAAAAATTATCGTATCTCTCGGAGGGAACTTAAACTGCCAAAATGACGCACCACAGTTGCATTTGGCTCATCTTGACTGAATCCTTCATAGTGGGTCTTGAATTAACGTGTTGGTAACAACAGTATGGTTTTGATAGCAGGTGCAATCGAGGTTTGTGGCTACACGCGTGGGTTGGTGAAAGCTTTTGGTGATTTCGAACTACTGACAAATACCGAGTAATGTAAATGAACGTCGCGCTGCCTCTGCCAAATGCCACAGCAATCATCGCGACTCACCAGAACTCGGGATCCTGTTGGGTAGTAGGAAGACCGGATCGCTTGAGCAGCCCCCAATCGAACAGCAAGAGTTTTCGTAATGCACTGCAGTCAGTTGTGTCACAAAAGGTCCGGAAGTTGATGAAGTGAGTTTCGAACTTATTCCAGTCTATGACGGAGAGTGACAGTTTGCTCTGCACGTCCCCTACTACAGCAGAAGCCTCCTTGTTCGATTGTATACGAGTCCTTCCTCCACAAAGCGATTGAATATTTACAACAAATACGATGGATGTGGGGAAGTATGACTGAAATGCTCCAGTGAGATAATACTTCAGCTTCCCAACTGGAGCAAGGTAGTTCGTAGTGTCAATGCACGTGTTTTTTGGCTAGTGACCAGAACTCAAGGTTGGCTCTTCAACACAGAAGGTTTTTACAAGCTCATGGTGCTCTCAAATTCTTTGGCCAAACCATCATCGTGTGAAGTCTGTAGTACTGCTAGTCGGGCTCTTAGGAAACTGGATTGCATAATTCCAGCGCCAGAGGTACCCAGGCGAACATCTCTTACTGGTTGTGGCACCGTGATTCAAGTCTCCATCATGTTACCTTTACCGTGACAAAGACATGCTTACCTCTTGGATACCAGTATTTTCAAGAATCACAATTACTCCCTTTAGGATCGCTTCAGTGAGCCTGACAATCATGCCCCAAAATCTGCATCAGTTCTACAAATGTTTATCATTGGAAGATCTCTAGGTAATAGTGCTTGACCCACAGCACCCGAGTGTGCAGACGACAGGACAGTAATTGTCATGTACTGTGTAAGTCTGGTTTAAGCTAACGCTTCGAGAATGGCGACAGCCTCACTAACTTCGCGACCATCAACCGACAAGCTGTCAGCAATTCACACTTCCAGAATTCAAAGGAGTATTTACTGGTGTGAATCTCAAATGAAGGTCACACAGATAAATGTTTTGATGCGTACACAGGTGGTTCATTAATTGAACGTCGGAAGTTTCATACAGGTACTGACAGTGGAGACTTATGAGGTGCTTGTTCGTGTCTAGCTCAAACTTTTCCCCAATGTCAGACAAAGTGAACGCGTAAACACCCAGTTGCCGTGAAAACAGAAGAACCATATCAACAGTTGGTTTCGGTGTGCAATCGATTGATGTTTTTGGCGAAACCAATACGGCAAGCGACAGCAGACGCTAATGATCAGGTTGATCATACTGACCAGGCTGATCGGACACGGTATCAAGTGTAGATTTCTAGCCCGATATCACAGATCTCGATCATCTTTTTCGGCCCACATGAACAGCTTCAGAAAATTCACTTTCATCTTCGTTTAGTACGTCACGCAAATAGAGACTTCATCAGTGGTTATGACAAGATTACGCAACGTTGAGTGGAAAATTCACAATCACCCATGAAGGATGACCCAAAAACTCCAGACAAGCTCAGCGCCAAAGGTTCACGATAGGAACTACGAGAAGTCAAGCGAACGGGAGAATGCCACGATTGCGAAACAGCTGAAGGACGGAAAACCAATCGGACAAGACGGGGGCTAGGCTATAGTCTACATATGCTAACTATCCTCGATTCTCGGGCGTTCCCACAAATCATTTCGTTCAGTATGGAGGACGGGATCTGGTCCTCCTGACTGGAGCATTTCAGTGTCCAAAATGATATCTGTGAGGTCAACTATGGCAAGCTAAGGTACTTCAACAGCAACATTCACAATGGTTGGGATATCCGGTATACAAGAACAATGACGAAGTTCCAAAACCAACCTTGGAATTGCATTCCAAGAAGACAAATAAAGATACCGCTCAAATCGCCCAAAGACGATATGGAGATCTGCCACTGGGACCATAGCTGGGCCGCAGTGGATCTGACAGCCACACGCCCCTCGTGGACAGCTGCTGTCCCAGTAGCTTCCACAGTTTGAAACACACCCAAGATACTTGGGTCGGGCAAGAATTACTTACTTTCCTGCGGTACAGTGGGCGAACTCCGGTGGTAGAAATCGTTAATAATCATGTTTCAAAAAAGTGCCGTAACGGATCTTAACCTACCTGTAATTCCTATCGTGGCTCAAATTAACCGTATTTTGCAGGTAAGAACATCGAATCCTCCCTCTAAGTTACACAAAACTCACTAAAAAATGAGACATACACCTGCGGTGCAGCGAAACAATGGTTTAGGGCTAAAAACTGGAATCAGGTACTTTGAAAACTTTGAATTTGAATCTTACCATACTACTAACATACTACTAATACTTAAAAACAGACGAATCGAGTGGATAGTAAAGGAGCACCATCAGTGCGAACCAACCACTGATTTATGGACGTCTCGGACAGCAGTGATCTAGGAGACGGCTGAGGAACAAGTATATTCCGCTGAAGAAGTTTACCCATACACCAGCTGACCAGTATAATAATTGATACAAACAAACTAATTCGTGAATCAATGGGATAGACAGGTGTTCTTAATCGGCAACTCCCAAACCAGTGGTATCGGTCTGAAACGAGTTGTGTCAAGCTTCCCAGACCCGGGAAGAGCTCCGATCGTCAACTGAACCCAAAACTGTTCTCGGGGGATGGTGCTGCGGGTAAACTTCTGCAAATCTCTCCTAACTCAAGTTGGGTACTCGTACTTTCAGTAAAAGTCTATTTTTACCTCTCCCGAAAGATAGCCTAGCCAGTGTGGAATCCCGCCTACGGGCCGTCATAAGGCGAGACAATCAATTTCAGCTCCAAAGTACATCCGCGAATGCTTGAGATATCGGGACCTTCAGATATGCAGTCGGTCACTATCAAATCAGAAAACAAAAAGACCGTACCAACCGCAGGAAGCTGAGTTGGAGAGATAACTACCGTCACCGGCCTGGTGAGCTAATCGCATGACAGTGCACGTTCCTGACTGACTGGTGGCTACGCTGGGCCAATTTGGCGGTGTCTCTACTCTAACGTTCTCCCTGTACCGATTTGACACAATGCAGTATTCCTTTGATTCGTCATTTTTAAAGATTGTTTGGAATCATAGGCGAACTCAACAGGTCATCTAGCAATATATCCGCAGAGAT